AGGGCAATGGTGTGGTAGTTTGAACATTCTTTGGCATTGCCCTTCTTTGGGATCGGAATGTAAACTGACCTTTTCCAATCCTGTGGCCACTGTTAAGTTTTCCAAATTTGCTGGCATATTGAGTGTAGCACTTTTACTGCATCATCTTTTAAGATTTTCAATAGCTCAGCTGGAATGCACTTTATTCAAATTAAATAAAAACTTACCACCAATGCATAAAACTGCCTTCTATCAAAAGGAAATTTTTATCAAGGTATACAATTACAAATGCAAGTTTTGAATGGGAGATTCCAAAGGGATAATCTAGTTAAGCTCTCTATTCATACAGGGGTGGGGCGCGGTGGAGTGGATGCTCTGACTGCCTAAAGTGGGAAGGAGATATAGCACAGAAACCCAATCGCCTTATTGTTCTCAGACAATTTGCCCGAGATAAAGCAAGTTAACAGCTCTGATAAGAACAAGATGCCCGGAGAGAGAACCATTCCACAAGGATTCCAAACAGGAAGGGATAATTTTGAGACCGAGTTTCCAGAGTCATTTGGCAAGATGGGGGCGAGCAGACAGGGAGGAGATGACGAGCCCGTCCACCAAGCTAAGGTAAACCACGAACACGGGGAAGGGGCAATCTTCAGAATTGCCTGGATAGCAACTCCCACAGAATGAAGTCGGAGTTGTTTCTGAGTAAACACACGAGCGACTGCTCTACCCCGCCGATTTGCAGTCTTTATCTTTTTAACGTCACAAACATCACAGGCTGTTGCTTCTAAGCATAACAGGTGTGCAGAGCACAGTACAAAGAAGCCAACGACAAACCGCACTACGGAAACCAGGAAAGAATCAGAGCAAAACGTGGAACAGATGGCCGGAAATTACCAGGCAACCGAGACGCACAGCGCCTGGCTGCGCGTAGAAGTCGCCCAGAAGAGCCCCGCCTCCGGAGGGCTGGAGCCAACGCGCTCCGACTACAGCGCAAGCACTCTAAGCCCCGCCCCACCACGTGCGTGCTGCGGCTGGAGCTTCAAAGGTGTTTGTGCCACGTGACAAGCAGACATTCTCCGGAAGGAAGGGCTGCGTGCATGCTTGCGTAGGCCGTGAGTAGCGGAAGTGACGCCCCTTTTTAAAAAAACCGGCTGACGATGACGAGGTGATATAAAGGGTGGGGAGTGCCGCGCTGCAGCCGGAAGTGAGTATGCTGTGAGGGTTGGGCGGGGCGTCGCGTCGCGTCCGAGAGGAACTTTTCGTCAGCTGGGCTAGGAAGGGGGCTGAGGCGGAGAAGTAGCAGCAGGGAGCGCCTTTCCCGTCTGCCTGAGCCCCTTCTGGGGAAGGGGCTGCGGAGCCCAGCATGGAATTCCGCCAGATCCTCATGGTGGCCTCGGAGCAGCAGGGACTCAGCTCGGTTCCGGTGAGAGGGGGGAAAGGGGAGGGCTTGTGCCCTGGGGAGGCGAAGCGTGGGGCTGGCGGGGGAGGGCTGCGGTTGACGTGGACGCCAGCTGTCTTCCGTTCCTTCCCTGCGGGACCTCTCTCTGCCCTCACACGCACATTCGCCCCCTGCCTCGTCCTTCTCCCTGTGAACTTCCCTCAGGAAGAGGCGAAGGATCCTTCGCCGTGGCTCACGGTCCACGCCGAACGCAGGTCGCAGCCCGGGGTTCGTGGAGACGGTGGCGCTGCTTGTCGAAGGGTTCTCCTCTGTCGCTCATCCAGTGGCTGACAGCTGGCGAGGAGCTTGTTTGACAAGCTAGCCGGGCGAGGACCGATCACAATGCATCCTTTCTTGGGTTTGGAAAGTTTGAGCGGTTTCTCAGCTGCAGTAATGATCTCAGCCTTAGAACATTTTTCATTTTATTTTTTTCTGAGGCAAGAGACCAGAAACTTCCCTCTACTTCTAGATTTTCATCTTCTAACTTTTTCCTGCTGGCTTCTTCTCCTCCGCCCTCCCGTATTTTTTAAATAAAGCTCTTCATAAAGTATGAACAGTCAACCTAAAAGGTTAATTTCAATATTGATATTTACTAGCGGTTACCTCCAAATTTTTCATCACTTGAACTGAAACATGATGTATAGATAGAACTGAATTTTATACTGAGACATACGTTAAGGTTGTGACCAAGCAAACTGTGAGATAGTAGAGGATCCTGGGAACAGCTTGCATATAATTCCTGCTTGTGCATGCACATATATTAATTGAAATATTTTTTAAATTGGGCCTTCCAAAAGGAGTCTACTGCAGTCTGTTGAAGATTGAAACAAAATACTGGATATAAGAGTATATAAGAGTATTTTCTTATTGTCATGTATTTTTGCCAGTGAGGGACAAATATATATGCAATATCTAGAAAGTCATAGCTGTAGTCTAATTGTGAAACTGATGTATGTATCAGCATCTGTTAATGCTGAGCTTTACAGTTACCCAAATTGTTGTGGTTAGTGAAGTACTGGTACTAGAGATTTCTTTTATTGTTTCATATTCAGATTCATCAGTTCATTCAGACAAATGGAGCATAACAATATGCTGAGTTCAGTGCCTAAGGATTTGATGCCCATGGAAGGCTCGCTTTAGGACAGTTTTCCCTAAGCTGGTGCACCCCACAAATATTGGACTACAGCTCCCAGCATTCCTGATCATTGGCCATGCTGGTGGGAAGGAATAAGAAAGTTCTGCTCCTCTTTCTTTCTTACAGTGCATGGGGAGAAGTCACTGTGCTGGGGCATTGCAGGGCATAAGAAGCTCAGATCCTTCTTCCTTTATCTTCCTTCCTTGGTCATATGGTGGGATGAGGACTGCATGAAGATTTCTAAATTAATCGTTAGTGGTGACTGTTTCATCACTAGAGGAAGGAGCATACAAGCTTTACATTCTTTTTGGAGTTGTTTGTAGTGTTGCACACTCAGCAGAATGGATCAAAAATAAGGTGTTTGTATTCTATGCAAATATCATAGCTGAAATGTCTCTTGTTGATGTCTTTTGGCCCATGCATTAATCCTAGAGAAAATAATAATTTCTCAGTCTGGTGAGGCAATCCTCTTCTTTTTTTTTAAACACCAGCAGTGCTTGTTGAAATTGTAATTAGAATATAACAATATAACTTCCCTGCTACTTCGCTTTAAATGCAATGATGCAGTAATTGCTTGCATGATTGGCTGCTGCACTCTTTGTACAGCTAGCTCAATAAAAGCTGTGTACTTACACAACAACAAAGAAACTGTACTTACAGGCAAATGTTCTGCATGCTTATTCTGAAGTAAATGGTATTTATATCAATGGGACATATCTTTTTATTCATTTGAATTTTTATACACCACTCCATACGCCTAGGCTCTGGAAGGTTTACAAGAGAGTAAAAGCAACAGTAGTTAAAATTTCAACTTAAAACAAGCATATTAAATAAAATCATCTGCAAAGTCCTGTTGGAAGAGATACATCTTTAACTCCCTCTTTTAATTACTTTTATTAAATTTTATTTAGAGTACTACAAAACAATACAAATATAAAATACATCGTAAATAAAAAAACTCACAAAATTCAAAAAACCCTATATAAAAAACTAGTACACTCCTCCACTGGGACATGGCTATATAATATTTCTTCATTTCTTTCTTCTTCCTTACTTCTGCTTCTAACCTTCCACTCCTTCAGGAATACCCCCTTCCATCCAGAATTGCATCGAATCAGCCCTTTCACTTGCTTTTAAAGTCTGGGATATATGATGTTTTTCTCCCAGTAGGCCATTGTTTAGTTTAAGTTTACCTTTGAGTAAGCATTCATAGAATTGCAGACCTAGACAAATGCCACATTCAAAGATGGGTGACCACTGAATATACCATGGACTGTCTTAGCACAGCTGCACAAAGAATTTGTTCATTAGACATGGCCACTATATGTTTTAAAAAATCTCCTTTAGCTGTTCCACACACTCCAGCGAAACCCATTCAGCTCTTTCTATGTAGTCATCAGTGGCAGTATTTTTGATTGAAAACAGTATTGATAAATACTTGTGGGTTTTCTTTTTAGATCTTTCCAAGATCCTTATCCCATCTCTTCAAATGGTTAAATATCACTGTCACAAACTTGGAAACTCTTTTTGGTGGGCAGGGAGGTTTGACATCCTGCAAGTTTGGAACAGGTTAAAGAGTAAATTGAACTCTGAGAGACCTTTTGCCATTGAGTTCTCCTGGGTGCAAGAAAGACTCAAGCAAATGTTGTATAAAAGACAACTTGTAGGCTCTGCAGTGAGTGTTTAAGAGGATGTTGCCTGTCTTTTGAAAAAGTGCTAGTAAAGTCTGTGTTTTGATAAACAGATAGTCCTGGGATGTGATGAGCATGGGGAAATAATAAGAAAGTAACATTCCTTTATACTCTGTTATAGACTTTTCCCTCAACAATCTCATGATGAAAGAAATATGAAATAGAATCTTTTACCATTTTGATTGATTTGAGGTTGTTGCACTCGTCTTGCTGTAATCCTAGAATACTTTAGTTGGGATCTTAAGGATCTCTTCCTCTGATAGGAGATGTAGTCTTGCAGCAGAAGGAGATCAGCTGTTGAAGGAAGACTTCCTGTGGGATTGGAATTGCTGTATCTGGTGAAGTTTGAAAAAAGTGCTACGTACTTTTGGAGTTTACATCTAAGTGACCATGAATAGGATTGTACTATAAAAATGTATATATTGTATTTAGGGGTGTGCTGATATTGGCAAGTGCAACTCATTTAGAAACATAGAAATAGTGCGAGTCAGAAGGAGTCACCCGGGCTGTCTAATCTGACCCCCAGCTCCAGCCAGCTCTGCTCATGACATGCCTACCCTGTGCATGTCCAGCCTGTCCTTGAACACACTCACCAATGGGGCTTCAGAGCCTCCCGTGAAAGCCCATTCCATACCCTTGGGGTCCTGGCTGTCAGGAAGTACTTCCTGGCATCCAAATTGAACTTTTTTTCCTTCCCTGAGCTTTGCTCCATTGGAATGTGTCCTGCCCTCCTCTGCAGGGGAAAACGGGTCTCTGCCCACCTCCCTGTGACACCCCCACTTGTACCATTTGCGCTTTTACTGTGAGCTTCCATCTGTAAGACAGGCAACAGTTTGCACTTTAAAAAAAATACTAAGGAAATTTTCTGATGTGATTGTTTAAAATACTAAGGAAATTTCACAAACAGAGCCAGGTGGATTGATTTGTGCAGTATCAAGTTTACACCAACAGTGTGCTAATAAGCTAGAATTCAGAGGCTGGGAGGAATAATGAAAATCAGTCATTCTCACACATCCATAATCATATTCTCCTGGAGCTAATTTCAGATTTGAGATCCATTTTAAACTATTCTTAAGGAATAAGAAAAAATACTCAAATGTTATTGATAAGGATTTAGAACTAAAATCATTCTTTGTTAAATGATGAATGAGTACATATTTAATAATTTATCTGAGAAGTAAAAACAATAATAGTATTGCATCATGTCTCACTAAAATTATAGACCTATTCATTTCTCTTGGGAAAACTACACTAAAATATAATTAGCTGTTTTCAAAGTAAAGTGACTACTAGGCTAGTAGTGCTTCATTGATAGTTCACTAATAGTTCAGTTATTACTGGAGAGACTTCAAAATCTGACCTGAATATAGATATCTGTATTAATAATATTTTAAAATCATTACACAGTAATCTTTATTACTGTGTAATGATAATATGAGGCCTCTTTAACATGGAGATTGAAACTGACCAGAGAGGTGTACATAATTTTTTAAAAGTTTTTGTAAAAAGTGAACTGAAAAATAGAAGTTAATTCTGTATCTCTTTATGTAGCATTAAGAATTAGCTTTGAGGTCTTAAATGTCAGCTCTATTCTTGTGGGGGAAATTAGCCTCATTGTCACTGTCCGTTTGCTAGATCATTTTGAATATTAAGTTTGTTCTTTTGGACTTGAGATATTTCCTCATTGTATTTAAGACAGTTGTCTTAACCAGGTGGTATTTTCATTCTTAGTTAGCAGAGGATGACATTTAGAAACACATCCGTTCTGTAAAAGAGGGAATAAGTGCTAATTTTGGAATAGCATTGTTCAGATGGCTAATTTTACCAACATTTTCAGACACATCATGTATAATCAATTTTTAAAAATATTTTAAGTGCTTTTGTGATTTTCCTCTTATCACTGAAAGATTCAGTATATTGCTGCAGTTTTCAGCCATGCAGTTGCTCTCTGCTACTATTCAGAAAGGGAGAGTCAGTGCTTACAGTTTTAAAAAGCATACCAGAAGAGCCTGCCCTGTACTTTTCTTCATGGTTGGACAAGCTCTGGAGCATTTCTGTGTAAAGCTGATGTTTTAAAAAAAAGAATGGAATCTTGCTGATTGTTCACATAGTGGTGAAGAACTGGCATGAAATTTAATAGGTTTAATATAAGCTGTTTGCTTTATTAAGATACAATGCATTGTCTTTGTTCTGCATTTTTTCACTTAGTGGAATAATATCAGTCAAGTCAAAGTTAGTAAAAACAGTGATTTACAGCATTTTTCATACAGCTTAAACAATTACAATTAAACCTGTAACAGAAGGCAAGCACACCCTAAATAATTTATGAGTACAAAACATCTACTTGTATAAACACTGCTATAGATGCTGATATGTAAAATGTGGCCCATGTTATCATAATCATCTGCAAAGTAGAATATAGAGTTCATTTCAACTTCATATCCATAAAGTGTTCTTTTCACTCAAATGGATACCCTGCTCGTTCATGCATATTTATATGGGAGTTGGCCTCTTTAATACCTGTATCACCAAACTATTCCTTCTTTCTCCCAGTTTACACTCCTGGTTTATGGACCAAATACAGGCTGGGGAAATCATAGTATTCTGGATTCTGACAAAATGGCAGACTATGGTTTGCTACAAAGCAGGTTCAAGGTCTCCAAATCTCCCTTGAATACAGAGGAAGGGAGGATGGAAAGCATGAGCTCAAGTCTCATTCTCTTAATGCCAAACAATGATTTGACTTTACTTCTGAATGTAGCTGTTGACCCATTCAGTGGAACTTAGTGTTAAATAAAGATGTGCAGAATTGCAGCTTAAAACATTGGATGACTTGTCAATTTAGGAAGAAGAATCTCAAAACAAATAACTGATTTTAAAATAGTCATTTTAATATTTTAAATACACATCATACATTGTCAAAATGTAATACTTTAATTAAAGTTGTACAGAAGCAATGGCATTGTGTTAGTGACTAAAAATTTTTATCCCCAGAGAGTAATAGATAAATGGTAAATTCTTGAATTTTATTAGTGAAATGTACACTTTTGAAGCAGAGAATACAAGGGGCTCAGACCTTATAAACTTTCACCAGCAGAAGTTGTGCCACTAAAAGTATTGGTTATTGGCCAATAAAATCTTACCCAGTCTCTAAGCATGTAACTTTCTCTTGCTTGGCTCTTCATCTTGTTGTCTCATGTCTCTGAGATAAGAAGTGTGTTCAGCATCTTCAGAGGAAGTGCACTTCTTTCCATTCTTGATGGTTCGGAGGGTTGGGAACAAGAAGTGATTCACTTGTACTCCATTGCATCCAATCAGAATGTAAAGCCTCTGTTTATTTTTAGCCTTCCACTTTTAAATATTTATTTCTGTTTATCACTTTTTCCATGTGAAAACAGCTCAAACTTACTACCAAGTGGTGTGATGAAAAGGTGGGTATGATTTAGCCCTCAGTCCCTCTCTATGTACATAAGGTATAGCAGCTCCAGCCTTGTGGTTAGTTTTTTGTAAAGGAGCTCTTAGCCCAGCACATGATGGAATGTCATAAGCAGCAGGAACACCACTGAAACCAACAGATTAATAAGCATATATTTATTGTTAATTTACCTGAAGACATTTTTCTTTGCAGAAAAGATACAGTTTGGCTGTAGGTCCTCCCAAAAAGGATCCAAAAGTTAAAGGTGTTCAATCAGCTGCTGTGCGAGCTTTCCTCAAACGACAAGAAGAGGAACAGAAGAAAAAAGGTATCATTTCAAAAATACTTTCCCCCAACTACTCAGAATCCATTACCAGTTAATGTTTGGCATAAGTTTTTCTGCGTTCCTTTTTAGAATTGCCATGGCTTGCTTTTTTTTGTGCGTTGGCTTCCAGGATCATAGGAAAGCAGTGGCAAAACTGCAGAGGGTTGGCATCCTTTTTTCTAGCCTTATTTTGTGTTGGAAATGAAAGTCTCACACACTGATGAGTAGTTCTGACATTTCGTATCTTTAACAGAAAAGGGGGGGTAACACCCCTCAGAGTTACTCTCACCCCTGTGCCACATCACACAACTACTCTTTGAAAGTTCCTTCGATTGCATAGCGGTTTGCCTTGTGACATGAGAAACCACCGCCTGAGAAACTGAAGCCTGAGCCTCTTGGGTGTACTGAATTAATTGTGCTGTTCTTTGGATCCCAGCACTAGTATTTAAGAGAGACTGTTAATTAACATTCTCCTATGTTATCCCCAAGTGTAACTTTTAAGTTTAATCTGCATTTTGATTACACAGGTAATGTGTATTCAGAAAGTAAACTGAGCATTACTGATATATTTCTAAATATCTAAGACTACTCAAGGATAAAACAACCTTCCTTGTAATTTTCCCTTCCATACAGCTCTTGAGGAGAAAAGAAGAAAAGAAGGACTTCTTGCTAGACGTGTGGAATTGAAACATGACCGAAAAGCAAGAGCTATGGCTTCACGGACAAAGGACAATTTCCGTGGCTATAATGGCATTCCTGTTGAAGAGAAGCCTAAAAAGAGGCAAGGTGCAAGCGGCTCTGAAAAAAACATAGAAATAAATGAATGCACAACAGGTGATGAAATGGAGCAGTTTGAATATAGTCAAATAGAATCTGAGCCGGAATCAGAAGAGTACGAAGAAAAGCCATCCAAAACACCTGTCAGACCAAAGGCACCTCCCAAAAGCGGTCCTGCAACTATGAATTTTAATGATCTTTTAAAGCTGGCTGAAAAAAAACAATATGAACCAGTTGAAATCAAAGTTGTAAAAAAAACAGAAGAAAGGCCTATGACAGCAGAAGAACTAAGAGAGCGAGAATTCTTAGAGCGCAAGAACAGAAAAGGGGCTGTACTAAAAGAGAAGAAACTGGAAAAAGAAACAAGGCATGTAAGTGCATTAAGTTCTTCCAAGAAGGACATTGTGCAGAAGGAGTCCACAAATGCTACACTGAGCAAGCATGGAACAGATAAACATTCCTTTTCTAAAGGAGGCCATTCCTTGCAAAGTGGAATTGATAAAAGAACCAAAGTACCAGCATTAAGTGAAAAGCCTTCAAAGCTATCCTCTTCTTCCAAACCCAACCACATTGAAAAAGCAAAACCTCCACCCAAGGGACCTTTAAAAAGCCCATCTAACAGCAGTCATATGAAACTAGCATCCAGTGGAGGAGGAAAATCTGGATCTGGCTCCCACACACCAGTCTTAAAGACAGCTGCAAATGGAACTCTCAGACAATCATCTAGTAAAGAACCTGCTCAGAAAAAAGCTATCAGCCATTCAAAATCGGCTAGTATGGCTGCTATGCCGCATGAAGGCATTAGAACATCCAGCTCCAAGCAAACAAGCAGCAGTTCAGTGGCAGGAGGAACTCTCCCAAGGGCAAAGAGCAATCTGAATACAGGTCCAGGGCAGCCAAGCAGCAGCTTGATTGCTAGCCATGGATCACAAGGTATAGGACCTGGGCGATCAGGAAGTAGCTCAGGGACGGGCCAGCGAAGCAGCAGCTCAAGCACGGGACCCGGCCGGCCAAGTAATAGCTCAAGCACGGG